GAGTAAGTATTTAATCACAAATAAAATGTTGAATCTCCATGACAGATTGTGGTTTGAAAATTTCTTTATTGTACTTACAATCAAGGAAGATTTTTTCAGTTTACTTGTACTTTGTACTTTACTTTTAACTCCTTTTTGAGTAGTTAAGTAAATTAAATTAAAAACAACAGTGTATACATGCTATTTTTATGGAACTTTGGGTTGATTTGAAGTTTGTTCTTGTGTTTTTATTGTTGCTCTCTAGACTAAACCACATTTTGAGCTGCACTGTTCCAGTGATGTAATCCATATTCGTACCTGCTCCGATTCATGTGCTGCACTAATGAATCTTATACAATATATTGCAAGTTATGGTGATCTACATCCACCGGCTAAGACAGAGATTAAACGTGGAGTTAGCAAGCCAAAAATGAAGGTATAAAATGGCAAAATGTTATCAACTTAACTTTATGCTTCCTGGTAATATGTTTTAGTTTTGATATCCCCATTCTATTTCCAAAGAATGATATTTCCCGCAAAGAAATTAACGGCTTGCATCTAACTTAAAATATATTTGAGAGTAAAATAATGCCCTTTTTTTCTGCTTTGGTCACTACTTAATATTTTAAAATATTTTGTACTGTTTACCTGTTGTACTTCATTCTTATCTAAAGAAGGAAATTCCAGGACATCTACAAGCTGTCCAAGTACTTTGATCTAAATACCCTTAACCATAATGTTCTAACCTACTTTATGAATCTTCTCAGACATCAAGTTCAGAGTTTGAGCTCACTTGATTGTTTATGAAATTAAGGTGTTACTTCTTACAGTTTAAGAGCTGTGTCTGAAGCCATTCTAGCAAAATCTTATTGAGCATAATACTGCAGTTGTCTTTAAGATGTAACTATGTAGAGTTCCTCTCCTACAGGTAGAGACCTTTAGCCAACCATCTTCCCATGGACCAGTCCTCGCTGAATCAGAGCAACAGATTTTACGGGATTTGATGAGTGATGCAATGGAGGAAATTGAGACTCAGCAGACTGCTTCCACCATGAAGCCAGAGTCTAACGGTAAGAATCCTCGGGAGGCATAAGTACACATAAAGTACAACGTTTCTGGAAGGAAAGTGGGATTGAAAGTTTTGTATATGTAGAGATGCTGCAACAAGAGTGGGAGCGTACCTTTGATGTCTGAAGTCTTCAAACTATTAAACAGCTTCTTGCTTTTGATTGTAATAATGCAAAAGTAACTTCAGATTCTAGTCAAATACACATTACTGAGATACGGAAAACAAGGAAGGAATCTGACTTTGTGGGAGTCTGTTAAGACTCCAAATTCTCTAGGAGTATAAATTAGTACGGGTGTAAGTTTATATAGCATACCACAGTGTGAAGGAATCAAAGACCTCTATTCTGTGTATGCAGGCAGTCCAGGAGAATGATACAGTTCGGAGTCACAGAAAGAACTTTTAGCTATGATGAAATGTTTCAGTTAGCAGATAGAACAAGATAATTGATTTTATCACAGCATTATGGCTTCTGCATCATGGCTAGAGTTAAATCCAGGTTTAAATTGGCTATGCATTTTGTACTGCGCATAGAGAATTTCACTGTTTCTATGATGTTTGGTCCCCTTTTTGATGGTGGAGGTTGAGCAGTCAGTGTAATACTGAAAGTTATCGATGCTGTGGTTTCACTACCAGAATGAGAAATGTGGGACACAAAAATGTCTTTTCTTTATCTTTTTTTTTTTTTTTCAAATAGTTTTCCTATATTTTGTCAGTTCATCTCTACTAGGAACTAGTTATGATTATATTGTAATCACTTTCAATTCTATAGTAGATTAATTTTTGAAAATGTTCTATTTGTAGTAAGAATTGATTCAAGATACATAAGCAAATACCCTTGATGTAGTTGAAGTAGCAGATTTTGGTTAACTGTTATTTGTTCATATTTTCATATTTTGTAAAGATTTTTTCTACTGAAACATACTTTTTTTTTTCTCCTCCCTCCTTCAACTCCTAGGAGTTTTGGATGACAGATCTCAAACTCAGGAGCCCTCTTGCTCAGATCTCTTCCTGTTTCCAGATGAAAGTGGAAATGTCTCACAAGCTCCAAGTCCCACTTATGCTTCATTCACTCATCACCTGATAAACGAGGCCATGGGAGATGTTCCCACAGAAAGCGATGATTTCTGCATTCTTTTTGCACCCAAAGTTGCTGTTGCTGTAAGAAGCTTTGAGAATTACTAAAAAAATACATATATAAACTGAACTAGAGAATAGCCTATGTAAGACCTGGACAAATTAGACTTCATAGCTTTTTGTGGTTGCTTAGTGATATTTTTATCAGTGGGCAGAGTAGCAGAAAAATCATCTTTCTGTTTGAAATTACTTCATGCATTGTTACTGTTAGGAATGGATGCAAGTATTTTCAAATATATGTAATTTTTCTATATCTCAGCAATATGTAATTTTTCTCAGATCTGCATATTACATTAAAATGTATTGGCAGTTTTCCTACATTTTAGTCATGCTTTATCATTGCCATTTTGACTTACAATAATGGCATGGTTAGAAAAAAAAAGTTTTAAGCAAAATACAGTATTTATCAAAATAGCAGCTTTGCACATCTTCTAATCTTTCATGAATTTCTCTCATAGTCTAAGCTTTCAGTGGTTTTATGAGCCTTAGATCCTTGCCCACCCTCAGAGAAAAGCTTGTATGTCACTTTACACCATTGTCTGTCCACTGCATTAAAAGATTTAGGAAATTTGACTCAAACTCTTTGAAAACAGATTGTGTTTATGTTTTTTTCTTGGTATTTCTGGTTGTATTCTCCTTAATAGACAGAACTACTTCTGGATACGTGATTAGAGGCTGTGTTTGCCCAGTTGTCTTTCAGCTTGTATGTTTCCAAAAGTGCTAATATGGTAACCTGGGCTCTTCCATGGGTTTTTTCTTTCTTTTCAACTCTTGTTTTGATTTGTTTGCAGTTTGGATGAGGAATTTTTTATTAACTACTTCTCAGCTTCTAGTTTATTTTTGTGTGCTTTTGTCTTTAAGTTGCTTTTATAAGAATCATTCCTAAGCCAAACCTGTGTTGTATCAGGTTTAGATGACAGTACAGGATAGTTTATTTTCATTTTGTAGGAAGGAATTAGACATCACAATGAAGAAAGCAGAGTTCACCTTCTCAGTGCTATATACTTTTTTTTTTTTTTTTTAATTAGGAAAAAGAGGAAGAGCCAGTAATAAAAATAATGGTTGATGATGTGATTGTCATAAAGGAAAATCATTTCAGCCAACCTATAAAAAAAACTGATACAAGCAAAGCTCCCCTCAATTTTCCCGTTCCTCTGGTACGCTATGTTGTAAAGGAAATCTCTCTTATTTGGCATCTTTATGGTGGAAGGGATTTTGGGACTGCACCACCAACATCTCCAGCTAAAAGTTTCATGTAAGTGTTTGATGTATTCCTGAAGATTAGAACAATTAAAATACTTTAATTTTCATTTGATTTGATTTGAGGTTAATTTCACTGCTCAATCTCAAGTCTGCCTCTCTTGCTTCTTCATTACCTCCTCACAAGGAATCAGTCATAGAATGGTTCGGGTTGGAAGGGACCTTAAAGATCATGTAGGATCTTATTTTTCAGTTTAGCTCCATACACCAGAGTCTGTTTTTCCTGTGTCTTAACCTGGATGAGCTGGGTTTGGTTTTTGGTGTTTTTGGGGGGATGGAGGGATGGGTTTGCTTGTAAGGGTTATATTAGAAGTTAAATTTTCCTAAAGAGATTGGGGCTTAAGGAGCATAAGCGACTATCAGTATGGTAGCTGGAGCGTGGTTTTCAGGATGTCATGTAAGCTAAAGAGTAATTGATATTATCACAGCAAAAATTAAGGAGATGTTTTATGAATGTTAATTTGGTGGGAAGCACACACCTAGTATTCTGCTTAAGTATTCATTACTTGAACAGTAAAAAGAAAGTGTTTGGTTAACAGCAACACAACTTCCAGTAATTTTTTTGGTATTTTTCTAGTATTTTTCTCTTGTAACCATTAAAATACTAATAAGTTATACCCAGTGAAACATGCACACGTTTAGTGCTAGATTAACAGTGGGATAGCTTTAAGTTTAATCTACGAAAGTGTATTTTTCTTTTTCACTTCCTCAGAAGTCCCCATAGTTCTCCTTCACATACACCAACGAGGCACGGACGGAGTACAGCTTGTGGGGGAAGAGGAAGGAACCCAGACTTCCTAATGGAAATACAGTTAAGCAAGGTGAATGACAGAAACAGCTTCAGCCATAACTGTTATATCCGTTTGATAACAGCTTTCTGTTAGAATTCAGTAGATTTTATTCCATTAGTATCTAAATCTAAGCGATCACTTTGAAGGTGATGAATTTAGAATTTAACTAAAAATGTGTTTGTTCTTCTAACACAGTATTTTTTACCTGCTGAATAAACATGTTTCTAAAGATGAAGAATATTTATTCTTATATTGTTAAAGTTTTTATTTACTTTAACCATGTTTTACAACTGCTGTTCTGCTTTTCTGTCTTCAGTTCTACTCTGAATTGATCCACCTATGATGAAATTAAATGTTCTAGCAAAATAACTGGGATGTAGATCTGACACTCAGTGTCTCAGTTGGTGATAACTGGATATTAAATAACATCCGGCTGCATTACAATATGATTCCTGTATTTCCCCTAATGTATTTAGCATCCTTCAGGCATAAGTATGTTGCTGTGGATTTTAAGCCTGTGCTTAGCTTTATCATAGAAGGTAGATGCTTGAATTTGGATGCTAAAATGTGGACATGTACACAATTAGGAATTGAAAGATTTCTGCTGCTAGACGCACAAAAATATGAGTAGTTTTCACAAATCCTAATATTATTCCTGTAAATTTAAAATAGTAGACAGCTTTTAAAGTTCTTATGTGTGGTGTGGGGGTTTTCTTTTTCTTTTTTTTCGGTAATATTTTATTGTTAAAGGTTCTTTTTCACTGAAGCTGATTATGCTGGTTTTCATTCTTTTTTGAAAGGTGAAATTCCAGCATGAGGTATACCCTCCAGGTGGTGCAGAAGGTGAATCCAGTCTGTTGGAGCAGCCAGTGTCTGTGGGAGCAGCCAGTGTCACGGCAGGTTTTTATTGTTCAGGACCTGGAGATCAGAGATCGCTTAGCTACATCACAGATGAATAAATTTCTCTATCTCTACTGCAGTAAGGAGATGCCCAGAAAAGCACATTCAAACATGGTACAGCTATGGAATATGTTAATTCATTATAATTATAGTGGTTGGACTGTCATTGTGGAGACTGTATACATTTCTTAGTCTTGCAGAAGAAGGAACATGAGGTCACAGAATCATAGAATGGTTTGGGTTGGAGAGGACCTTAAAGATCATCTAGTTCCAGCTCCCCTGCCATGGGCAGGGACACCCTCCACTAGCCCAGGTTGCTCAAAGCCTCATCCAGCCTGGCCTTGAACACTTCCAGGGATGGGGCATCCACGGCTTCTCTGGGCAACCTGTTCCAGTGCCTCACCACCCTCACAGTGAAGAATTTCTCCCTAATATCTAGTCTAAATCTGCCCTCTTACAGATTAAATCCATTACCCCCCACCCCCCGCCCCCATGAAACACTGAAGTAATATAACTTGACTGCTTGCAGATATTAAAGCTAATTAAAAAGTCAGTTTGAATGTTAGTATGTCAGGTATTGATGTTTTTGAGATTCTGGCAGTTTAGAAAAGGTAGAACAACTTTGGTAGCTTTCAGATTTTGGTTTTGATCAAACATCTGCTTGTATCAGCATGATTAGAGTTTTCACTACACATGCAGAGTTGCAGTTTTATGATATACTGTAGTCTTACTGATTCTGTAAAGGATTTATTAATATTTATAATATTAATATTATTTTCTTTCCTTAATTTTGTTTTATAACATCCATAATAAGTTATTTATTCAACACTACCTTTATAATTGGTAAGTGGAATCAGATTAGTACAGAGGTTTTGCAGTAAATGTTTTTCCTAGCAAGCGTTCTGAGATTTAATAATTGCGAATGTTACTACTCTTGTTTATCTTGTTGCTTTTTCTCAGTTAACAGTTAAAGCATTACATGTCCGTCCAGAGTCTGGCAGATCCCCACAGGAGTGTTGTTTGCGTGTTTCACTAATGCCACTTCGCCTCAATATTGACCAGGTTGGTTGTGCCAATGGAAAAAAAAAAAAAATTGTTTGATTATTCTGGGTTTTTTTAGCAGGTACTTGTAACCATCATACACGTTTTATGGGGTTGTTTTCTTGGTTTGATACCATTTTATTTATGATCAATCACACATATCTTTGGATCTCTGCTGCTCACTCTCTTTATATCCATGTTAGAACTTGCCTTCTGCTTCAGCTATTAGAGGTACTGGCCTTTTTAATTTAAAAACTAAGATTGTCTATAGACCTGGCTGTTTGCTCTGTAATACCGGTTTACCCCCTGAGAATTCTGATAATCTCAAATGTTTTGAAATCATGGCTTTTAAAAAGCATATACTTATTCTTGAATGATCTTGCTTTGTTTGTTCATGAAGTGGCTTTGGTGTTTTTAATTGAAAATTTAATCATTAACCCAGAAGCTGTTCACAACATTTTAGTCAAGGGCACTTGATGCCTGAGGACTGCTTCTATGCTCTGAAGGCTTTGGTCTCACTATCAACTGCAGTGGCCTGAAGAAGAAAAATGGAAAAAATTGTTTTAATTTCTTTAGCAAGCATTTGTGCAAAGTATTTTTCATATACTCAAGAAACAGGTGGGGTTTTTTTCTGCAGCAGTAAGGAAGCTACGTATGTATATGCATTCAGATTTAAAGTTCAGTTACTCCTCTTTGTTGAGGCATTTCTTGCTTAATTTGTCATCTGCAGAGAGATGTGGATTTTTTTAAGAGCACAGTTAAGAGATCCATACCTACCTTCTGTTTCCTCAGCACACAGTAGAGACCAGGTTTTAATTTTGCTGTTACAAAAATAGACCTCTATATAGTTTGTAATAATTTCATATAGAAAAATAGTATGGAAATACTGTCATCTAGTGAGGAAATATGTTCCCTCTTGTTTACTTTTCTAAGTCTTTTATCTTTTGTACCATAAACAAAATTCACCTTTACAACTTCTGCAAAATTAACCATAGCTTTCTTGGAAGTACAGGACTGCATGCGGTCATGTTAGAAATTCCTGTTATTGATACTTACACTGTCTACTTGTCAGTTGTAAACAAAAAAAGCAAAAGAAAGTCCAGATGTCATTAATTATAGGATGAACAAGGCACCATCTGACACTAACAAGACGTTAACAGTAGAGATATTAATGACTTCTAATAAGGCAGTGGTGAGATCTGATCTGGAATAATTTGGCTGACACTGGCAGTATTAGAGATTAATATAAACTATACTTGAATACCCTTTTGTTGGAAATTAGAGAAAAGTTTATAGCCATTAAAATGCTTGGCTTCTAGAACAGTCTCCAAAATGAGAGAAGAGATGATGAAAACAACCCTGGAGTTTAAAAGAGAGCTAGATAGATTATGAAGTCATATATGTAGCAGTGGCATGACCAACAGGGTCTTTCTGGTTTCTGTCCTAGATTTCTGTGTGTCTTCTCCACTTGTTAAAGGATCGAAAAGACGAAATGTATTTTGATTCGTATCTCTATAGAGCTGGAATAGTAGATAATATTTTTAGAGAACTTTTTTTTTTAACCAGATTATATTTTGTTTTTGACACTAGGATGCCTTGTTTTTCCTGAAGGATTTTTTCACTAGCCTCTCTGCAGAAGTAGAACTCTTAGTTACTCCAGATCCTGAAGGTATACTTCTCAAAAATCTAATATGAAATGTTTCTTCTTTCTCCTTTAATGTGTGTACATGTCTATAAATTCACATGTGAATCTCGTGTGTGTAAGAGAACTTAGCATTAGTGACCAAATCCCAACATTAGTAATTAACTTGTTAGAAAACAGAAAATTTGGGTATTTTAGTTTTGTATTTTATAAATACCAACAAAGGCCTTCAACACCTGGGATTTCCATTGTATGAAAGGTTTCACTAAAATCGGAGCATATTTAATAAGAACCTCTGAAAAAAATGAGGACTGTGTATGTAATTGTGGTGAGTTGACCCTGGCTGGATGCCAGATGCCCACCAGAGCTGCTCTATCACTCCCCCTCCTCAGCTGGTTGGGGGAGAAAATATAACAAAAGGCTCATGGGTCAAGATAAGGACAGAGCGATCATCATGGGCAAAACAGACTTGACTTGGGGAAAATTAGCTTAATTTATTACCAATCAAATCAGAGCAGGGTAACGAGAAATAAAAACAAATCTTAAAAACACCTTTCCCCCACCCCTCCCTTCTTCCTGGGCTTAAGTTTAGCCCTGAATTCTTTACCTCCTCCCACTCAGCAGGTCAGAGAATGGGGGTTGTGGTGAGTTCATCACATGCTGGGTCTGCTGCTCCTTCCTCCACAGGAGGAGGACTCCTCACACTCTTCCCCTGCTCCACTGTGGGGTCCCTCCCACGAACTGCCCACAGTCCTTCCCACAGGCTGCAGTTCTTCATGAACTTGTCCAGAGTGGGTCCTTTCCACAGGCTGCAGTCCTT